TACAGCATCTTGCTATGCTGATGGACAATGACTGTAGTGGGGTGTGTGTGGGGGACTTGATGAAGGGGGGAGCCTGGTAAACATAATGTTCTTCATGTAATTGTAGATTAGTGATAGCAAAAAAAAAAACTTGCTCAAATAATTTTTCTCCTCCTATCCTCTCTTAAAACCCATTTCAGTCAAGTTTTGGCCTCTGCCACTCCAACAGAACTGCTCTTGTCCAGGACACCAGTGCCCCCATGTAACTAATGTGATGGTCGATCCTCAGCCCTCATCTTTCCTCCCGCATCTGCTGCCCCTGCCACAGGGGTTGCTCCTTCCTCCTCTAACTTCCTTCACTTGGCTTCTGGGACCTGGAGCTTTCCTGTTTTTCTTTCCTAGGTTGGTGTCCTCTGCTGGTCTCTTTTCTTTCCACGCCCTGTGCCCTTGGAACTCTCCTGGACCCATTCATGCTCACTTACTCAGTGATCTCTCCCAATGTCATAGCTTTATACAAAATTCTGCTAATGACTTCCACATGTATCTACTCATCCACCCAGTTGCTCTCTGATATCTCTACCTGGACATCTAATACATCTCTCAAGCTGAATGTGTCCAGCACCGATCATGCCATGCTCTGCCTGTAGTACGCTCCATTTCAGTTCATGGTGATTACATTTTCTCCAGTGGCTAGAACCTCAGAATCTTCACTATTTCTTCAATTTCTTATTCCACATCTGGTCCATTCACAAACTTCTTGGCTCTAGTTTGGTTTCTCCCATTACATCTGTGGCCTCTGCCTTGATCCAAGGCTCCATCACCTCTTGTCTGGTTCATTAGAATGGCCACCAGATTGGTGTCCTTGCCTCTCCTCTTCACAGTCAAATCTCAACACTATTCAGAGGGGTCCTTTCCAAGCCTAGACTAAACCGTTCTTCTGTTCCAGACTTTCTAACGATCCTCATTTAATTCAGATTATAAGCAAAGGCCATGTAGGATTGGGTCCCTCACTACCTTTCTCCCTACTGTGCTTGTCCTTGCCCTTTCCTCTCTAGCTACACCAGTTCCTTCCTCTTCCCTGGAAGGTAGTCAGGCTCTAGCCTCAGAGCCTACACAGTGGCTGTTCCTTCTGCTTCATTTGCTCTTCCCTTAGAATGTGTACAACTTATTCTCTCAGTTCCTTTAGCTTTTTGTTCAAATACCATCTTCACAGGCAGGCGTGCCCTGACCACTGAGTTCACAATTATACTCCCACTCCACTTCCCCACCCTCCTTTTTCTATTCTAACTTTTCCTATAAGCTTTAAATTTTCCTACAATATCATATACTTTACATGAACATTTATGTCTCTATCTCCCCACTAAACTGTAAGTGCCACGAGGGCAGGAATTTTTGTTCATTTATGTTGTGTTCAATTTGGTTCCCAGATGGGCATTTTCAGTTTCTATTTGGAGAATCACCTACTAGTCAGACAGTTGACCCTCTTATCTTTCAAATGCTTATAAGTAAAAAAGCTTTGACTGCTTTAGGCAGTACAAACTTTACGTAAGTTTCATTATCTTTGGGTATGTGATGGACTGTATTTTTGTATTTTATGAATATGTTCATTATACTTTTATTGGTACTCCAATAGCTGATTTCATGTATAATATGAAAAGCTGAAATGCATTCAGAGAACACTACAAAGAATTCCTTGGTCTAAGCCATATAACCTTTTGATCATGAACTTCTGAAGTTTTTTAAGGCTACTATTGACTGACTAATCCCTACTTGCCTTTCCTACCAGAACATGAGAAGAGAGCCTTGCTTTTTCTGTACAGAGACTAGAAATCAGATACTAGTTGCTCAAAGAAGACAGAGCCTAGTTAAATCTCACAGAGATATTGACAGCTGGAGATGTGAATTTCAAGCTATTGTGGCTCATATATCAAGTTATCAGACACACACTGAGAAGGCTCAGGGATTGTTAATACATTTTAGAACTTTGTTGAATATCTAATCTTAAGATTTAATGGTTACTGTTTTGATATTTTCACAAAGTAAAATCTCTTATTTGATTTATATAACAGTATATATAATCAGATTCACTCAGTACCCCTGGGAGTCAGTTCCGTCTCTGCATGTCCTATGCCTGATTTCTGGGGTCCTGGAGGGGTAGGCAGAGATCACTATGCTGCTTGAAATGGCAACAAAGTGGAAGAGGCCAAGTGTGTGGCAAAGAGTCCAGTCTAACCATTTAATTCTTTGTCTTCAAAATGAAAAAAATAATACTTGGCCCCAGTTAGCCATGATGTAAAAGCTGGAAAATACCCAAGTAAGGTGCTAAGACAGAAATATTTTATGAACATGAGTTTTCAGCATTTTATTACTTGGAGGGGGTGAAAAGTCAAACATGGCTTATGCTAAAACAGCTTTTATCATTCAAGGAACCAGACAGTGTTTGTATGTATTCCCAAGAACAACGAGCCAGTGAAAGCCCCGGGACCAGCTGGGGACCAGCCACGACAAAAGCAGATCACTCGGAAGTACCGCAGCCCACCTTGTTGGGTTCCCCGGCCCCCTCCGCGGGCCCGTCTCCTCCTGCCTCGCTCTCCTCCTTCTCCTGAAGGTTCTCATTCTCATCCAGGAGTTTGACAGGCACAGGCGGCGGGGCCTCCTCCTCCGGATCATGCGGGTCGCCAGGCACACTGTCCACGTTGGCGCTCTGCCGGCCCTTCTTGTTCCTGTCCACCGAGGCGTACTCGGCGAAGTCCGCCGTGCCCTGGGCCTGGGGCCCCGGCGGCTCTTTCAGCGCTGAAGTGGACTTGGACTTGGCGCTGTGGCCCTTCCCTGGAGGCGCAGCTGCCGTCACCTCCTTCATTTCTTTCACAGTCTCATACAAGCAGTCCTCCACCATATTTTCCTGGGAGGAACTGTCCTTGAGCACCTCGTACGGCCCCTCCATGCCCAGAGCCTGGTCCCCGTCCGCACTTCCGGCACCGAGGAGCGCATCCGCCCCGCTGTCGGGGGGAATCCGGGGCAGCTCCCGGCTCTGGTGACACTTGGGCTTCCCCGTGCTGTCCTGGGAATCCAGCAGGTCCGAGGCAGAGGTCTGCACTTCCTCGTAATGCTGCATGCAGGTCACAGTGCTGTCTTCTGAAAGAACTAAAGCCAGCAGAAGTATTAAGAATGGAGATAGATGATTCCATAAGTAATTCTCACACTGAACCGCATAATGAAAAGTTAGGTTAAATCAAGGTGCCTGCTTTTTATTTGACTCCAGGCAGCAAATTACAGATGTGATGATTGTTAGTTAAATATTATTTCAATCACAGCTTAAACGAAAGCCATCCATTACATATTTACAATACAATATTTAACAAATTGTCCTGGCTGTAAATGTGTTTCATGGTTACTTTAACTAGTTGTTACTCCTGATGGGACTCTCATAAGCACAGCGCCTCATGAGACCAGAGGATGAAAGTGTTTCTCCATGAGGCCAAACTGTGGGAGGTGGGCACCACGACCGGGGCCATGTATTGGGGCCATGCTCTCTGGCCCTGCTGGCCTCCTCCTGCTTGGAGGGAGTAGTTGGCAGCCATCCCCTTTCATAGGTCACTTTTGTTTGGCTGACATGACGGAAATGATGGACAAAGCTGCACCTCGAGCCAGTCTGCCAAAGGGGCCCACATACCCCATGCCTCTTTAAAGTCTTCCTTCCAACTCACTGCCACATTTCTATCTCACATTAGGAAATTCAAGTGTGAAATTCTTTGATGGGCACCACAGAAATGCTACTGTGTGAAGCCATTTGGTCATCCCTTTGCCAAATGTTTGTAGAGCACCTACTATGTGCCAGGGATGGTCGATGTGTTGGAGATACATCATTCCACAAAGCAGAGTCCACAGCAGTGAACAAGTTATTAAATCACTGTGTCTTCATTATATAGTCTTTATATATTAAATATTCTTTATGTATAAGTACAAAAATTATAAGTGTATGTAAGTATACTTAAATGTTATTTGTATTTGCATATTCATCCATATTGTCTTTACTCTTTATATAATACATATTTACTATGTATTATAATTTTTGTGTGTGTGTGTGTGTTTATAACTTATGATTTTAACCCTTTCTTTGTACTGACTAGACTAGGATTTTCTAAGAGCCTTGGAGCTCAGGACAGTGTCTAACACATTATAGGCACCACTGTATGTTTTTGCATGAAAAACGAAATGACTGAATGAATGAATAAAGTGCTCACCTCTAGTCCTGGAAAAAAAAAAAAAGCTGTGTTTCTCTTCGGGGGAATTAAAAATAATGTCCCTAAGGGGTAATGGAGGAAAACTCCATGAACCCTCCTGAACTTAACACCACCACCATCTGTGTTTTAAATACTTAATCACCACAGAGGGGGTGAACTTTTGCCCCACACGCCTGTGTCACGGTGGACAGAGAATGGGCACTGGTGTCTGAAGACTCTGGAGTCACTACTCACCACCCCATGGTCTCCTCATCAGTAAGCGGGGCAAGGACAGCCTCCTGCCTCAGATGAAAGCCTTCTGTAAGCTGGAAGGGGCAAAGCAAGCTATTTTTGTCAGGGAGGGCATCCTGGGCATGAGACAGGCAGTGGGCAGGGGACTCAGAGGGCTGCTCAGGACTCAGACTGCTGGGTTCCAATTACAGGTCCTCAGCGCTCTGACTATATGGTCTTAGGCAAACATTAACCTCTCTGGGGCAGGCAGAAGAATGGCCCCAAAGGTATCCACTTCCTATTCCCCAGATCCTGTGTGTTCTGTTCCACGGCAAGGGAGGAAGGAGGGACACTGATGGAACTATCAGCCGACCTTGAGAGGGGCAGAGTAGATGGTTATCCAGGGGGGCCCAACACAACCACGAGGGTCCTCACACATGACAGAGGGGAGCAGGAGACTTGCAGATGGAGGGAAAGGCCAGGAATCAGGGAATGCAAGTGGCCTTGGGAAGCTGTCACAGGAAAGAAACAGATTCTCTCCTAGAGCCTCAAGTCAGAAATGCAGCCCTGCTTATACTTTGACGTCAGAGATGTAAGGTAATAAATTCCTGCAGCTCCGAGGCACTAAGTTGTGGAAATTGGTTGCAGCAAGTGCTGTGCTGCAGTTTCCTCCCTGTACATGTGGACAGTAATAATCCCTACTCTATAGAGAGCAGTAACATTACTATTAACAATTGTGATCTTACAGGGTGGTTGTTAAGATAAATGAGTTAGCACACATACAAATCTTAGAGCAATGGCCCACAGAAGCCAATTAATAAATATTAGCTTCTCATCCAAATGACATTTTTTTTGCTAAAACTGGTAGGAATAGTAAAAGCAAACAAGAACACATTTTCTAGCTTTTGAGCTACTCTTTTTGAAACCTAGTCCCTCCTTAAGTGCTGAGGCCTACATGGAGAGCTGGTAGTTCGTGGAACTTACTGTCACCGTTGGTAAGTAGCCCATTCTGTTCACTGCTTGCAGGAGCATCTGTGGCCAGGCTGGTAACTGAATGGCTGAACATTTCCTTGTCTGATGGCTGAAAAAAAAACGTACCACACTGAGTGTCAGACTGCGTGGCAGAGGGAGTAGCTGTGGCTTTTTCTAAAATTCAGACAATGACAACAAAACCCCAAATCCACTAGTTAGATTTAAGTTAAGAGAAATTAAAACTGAGCTGCTCAGTTGTACTAGTCCCATGTCAAGTGCTCACCAGCCGCATGCGGCTCGTGGTTACTGTGTCAGATCAGAAACAGAGCCCTTCCACCATGCTGGGCGGCTTATACAGGGCTGTCCTTGGATCTGAAGGGCACTGGGGATCTTCCAAGGCCAGCCGCTGAGCTTCCCACCTGGTCGTGTACAAATGGGCTACAGGTGTTGGTAAGGTTATTGGTCTCCTTGGCTCCAGGCAAGGAGAGCATCAGAAGCCCCAGGCCGGACAGAACGGGCTCTGGCAGAGAGCAGCCTTGCCCTGTACTCAGTGTAAGATGACATTCTTCTTAAATGGGTGCTGTGCCATGAGAAGCATGGGAAAGCACATCATTTTGTCATCTGAAGGGAAGAGACTTAAATCTGGCCAAAGATATAAACAAAGTAGGTTTGCAAACCTTTCTTACTCTTACAAATTTCTGACACTTGGAGGAAAGAATGGCATCATAGGATTTCCTACAGGTCTGGAATGTATAGGTATTGAATAAGATGCCAGGCTGAGCTATAGCTATGCATAGTCAGAAAGTAAGTTGGTAGTTCCAGTGTGTTTGTAAGAACCCACTGGTCCCATGTGGCAGCCTGGATCACTGTTAGTATCATCTGTTCTCTTCCTTCTCATGGAACGCCTAGCCTGAACGACCAGGAGGCCATAACCTGACCATCTCCAGGATTCCACATGGAAAGTTCTGATGCAAACAGCAGAAGCTTGGCTAATTGGCCTCGTAGATTCTCTGACTCCTGATTGGGAACCAAATAATAGAAAAAGAGAGCAAACAGCTCATGCTGTGTCATGATCCCAAAGTTTCTTGGGTGTCAGCCTTCTCCGAGGCAGACCAGGAGAGCCGTGGGTAGGCGAGGTGTGCATGTGAGCAGGCAGAGAAGAGAGGGAGGAACCCCAGGGCCTTAGGAGAGGGGCGGCCTGACAGCTTCTGTCTGCTTGGGCTAGAAGAGTCCCTTGTAGGCAGGGAGATCAAGACTAGGATGCCTCCTGGGTAAGCTCTGCCCCTGTCTGCTGGCTGCATGTTTTCACCCTCTTCCCCAAACCAGTTTTTGCCTGATCTTGAGAAATTACGTCAGTGACAGGAAGTGCCTTCTCTGTTGGTACCTCCATAGAGCACAGACAAAATATGATTAAGTCAGCTTTATGGGAATATGAGGGTGGACCCATCCCCAGCTGCTGGAATCGCTCAGTCAGTTGGGAGCATGACCCCGGGTAAAGGAGAGAAGGCAGAACCAGGGGCTTTTAGGCTGCCCTCACTATGGGGGGGTCTGAGAGGCCTCAGGGTGGGGCCTGTCAGGACCTGTAAGATGCTGAGGGCCACAGGAGACCCAGCAGGCCTGGGCCACAGCTGGCACGTTGGGAGTCCCAAGCTCTCGTTAGCTTAATGACCAGCTGTTACGGGTTGAATTGTATCCCACCCCAAATTCCTGTGTTGGAGTTGTCAGTACCTCAGAATGTGACCGTATTTAGAAACAGGGTAATTGCAGATGAAACTGGTTAAGATGGGGTTTTTATAAAAAGGGGAAACATGGACAGAGACAGACACACATGGAGAGAAGAGCACAGGAAGAGGCACGGAAGAGCACATGCCAGGTGACAACAAGGGCACGAAGGGGCCCAGAGGTCACCAGTGAATGAGCAGCAGCTGAGACAGGCCTGGAACAATCTGCCGCAGAGCTCTCGGGAGGAGCCAGCCCCACTGACACCTCGTCTCGGATCTCCAGCCTCCAGAGCCCTGAGACAAGGAACTTGTTATTTGTTTGCGACAGCCCTAGCAGACTAGCAGGCCAGCTGCAGCTGGGCAGACGCAAAAAAGATCCATCCCTGCAGTAGGCTGCAGCTATTTAAGGATCTCTGGGGCAGTGGCACAGCTGATCCATTTCAGATACTCTGCCAAGCACCCTGGCTGATTACACAGGCCTCCATCAGGTGAACCCACACCTTCAGAAAGAGGACCCAGCCCAGGCAGCCAGTTAACTGGCTGAGTTCTGTCCCTCAGTCTCCATCAGGTCATAAGCTGGGGAACATGCTTAGATGGGCGGCTGACGTTTAGAGCACACACAGACACACGCACACGGCTCACCACGTTCATCAGGCTCTCGTGATCCCCGCTGTGCTGTCTTGGCTTCTTTTCTCTGATATGGGAAAGAAAACGCTGCTGTAATATCAAATGTGCAATCCAAAATCAAACACACACACTCCTCATTAACGTTTAAATCTCTCTTTTAAGAACCAAACTTATTTTGACACAGAAGCAAAAACCGGACAGGGACTCCATCACTGCTTTGCAGGCAGCAGGGCACGAGGGGTTGGGCCGCAGCAAGGGACCCTCACCTCTCCGGCTTTCCCTGTCCTCCGAGGAGAATATACACGTTCACAACAGAAGGGCTGAGGCAGGTTCCCAAGTGGAGACTGTTCATATCTAAAATTCTGAAAGGTATTATAACCTCACCATTTTTTTTATTTTTAAGAAAATCTAGACAATTTATCTCTACTTCTTTTAACTCAGGCTTTGCAGTCACACACTGCAATGGGATTGAAAAAATAAGGAAAGAAAATGCAAATTTTGGCATGTCTCAAAGGGTACGTGCTCTCGGGATGAGTCATATGTACTTCCAGTCTATGGAAAAGTCCAGGACTGTCGAGTAAAAATAGAATTTATTTTTACTCAGGACAGACTAAAGAAAGCCATCCTAGAAAATGTTTCCCATATATGTGTAGGGCAACAGTGACACCTAGTGGGAGTGTAAATACTTACAGAGTCGACATTCCGGGGCCCCGGGGGAGCCAACTCTCTGCTCGCCTGTTTCATCTTTCTGGCCAGACTCTGTCCCAGCCATAGAGGCCTGGGCCATAACTGGGCAGGGATTAGAAGGCAACCTGGGTTTGGAGAGCCCAGCTTTTCCCCTCTTGACAGAGATTTCAGGTTAGGAAGCCACATCGAGGCTTTAAAATGACACTTGTTGAGTCTCTTCTGAGGTTACTGGGAAGGATTGAAAGAGGGCTGGCTGGTCTGCACAGGCGTCCAGCAGCCGACCCACCAGGAGGCTGCATGGATCATAACAATGTCTGAACGCCTGGAAAATGACTCCTGGCTTTTGCTTTTCTCTGAGCTACGATCTCTTTTTTGGGGAGGTGGGAGGGTGGGTTATGGATATTTTGTGTGAAGGAGACACAGAGGGAGAGGAAACATACTTCTAAGAATCACAGGATGAATATTTCATATACAACGTGTCTTTCTTGTAGGAAAAAAACTCATCTGTTTCTTAAGAAACTGCAGTTCTGGATTGCAAATTTTTAATAAAACGAGCTGTCTAAAGCCATGTAACAGCAAAAATTTTCAGTAACTCTCAAGTGGCAGCAAAAAGAATAGCTTTAATGGACATCATACTTAGATTTTCAAATATCCACAGATGGAAAAAGACAAGATAAATATTGACAAGGCTGTGCTCCAAAGAACAGCAGGAAGTTCATTCTAGGAGTCTCATATATCAGGGCTCTTCCAGTTGCTCCCCGGCAGAATCAAATATGGATTTTCATTTAACTAATGAAAAATGTCCTGGGATTCTTGGCAGCTGAGAATTAAGCTAAACACATGAGTTTCTGTGAGTGTCTGTGTAGTGTGAGTCCATTTATAAGAGGCTTTTTATATAAAGAGCCTTCTGGGTACAGGGAATGTGTTATTTCAAGGTTCCAGGAGATGCCTGGGCTCTTACCTGTCACAACTGGAACACAGGAAGATGAGGAAAGTGATGAGGAGAAAAGTGGCCACAGCCGCCAAACTCCCCCATAGGACAATGTGCATTTGTCCGCTGCCCAGCACATTCCCGGAGGGCCCCATGGTGGCGATCAGAAGGGGCACCAGCTGATGGAGTCGTCAGCCCTTCAGAGGTGGTGACATGGGGGCAGAGGGCTGTGTTCTCCTGCAGAGAGACCAATGTGGTTTGAAACTCGCCAAACCTCACTGGAAAGTGCAGGCATCTTGTAATGAGCTCCTGCTGGGAGGAAGGCCTGAGCAGTCAGGGAGGTGTGTGTGGTATACCTGGGGCTCCACTCAACGCCTTGCTCTGGGAAAGTCCCCTCCACCGTCTAGGCCTTCATTTTCCTCGCTGAAAAATATAAAGTGGGGATGTACAAGTGCATGATGTTTGAGGCAAAGGAGGTCTCACTATTTTGTTATGTTGGAGACAGATTCTTAAAGTGTTCAAATAAGTAAAATTCCAAGTACTCCCTAACAAATAAGTAAATGCTTATTTGCAGTCTTTTTTCCCCCAGAAGACTGTAAAGCATTTACAAATTTCACAAAACTATAGTTTATATCTTTCCCACTTGTCTCCCTAGCTCCCTAAACCTGCTTTTCTTTGAGAAGGTTTAAGGTCAGTATAATTAATGAAATAGCATGTCATTATATTCACCTTCATAAAGTTATGTATTCTGAGTACGTGAGTGTTTATTTTCAGTGAGCTTTCACTGGCTTTTACTGAGCTTCCGTGAGCACTCAATAAGTACATTTTCAAAAAAAAGGACGAAAGTGTGTGCTAAGAATACATCACTAGCAGTAAATAAGGTCTATTTATAAACAACTACAAATTAAGTCTAAGAGCTGTACCTAGTACATTTTAGTACCTGGCATGTGCCTTAGACTCTGCTATATGCTTTCCTCATTTAATCGCTGCCACCAGCCTGTGAAGAAGACATGCTGATCCCCATTTTAGACAAGGAAGCTGAAAGGCCAAGACATGGAGTAAGTCACTCTGGGGTGTCACAGGTGCTAAGGGCAGGGAGAGGATGCGAGTCTAGATGTCTCTGACCCCAAAGCTTGTGGTCTTAGCCCCTAGGGAAGCTCCTTCTCCTTGGGGGCTGCTGTTCCCTGTTCTAGCTCCCATGCTTTGAAATGAAATTGGTTACTTAGTTTTGCAAAATGTTTTAAGAGGTGTAGAGTTTGAAAAATTTAGTAGTATGTCAAATAAATGATTATTACATCATCAGAGGGCCCTTGTTTTATTAAAGAACATTTGCTTTGCTCAGTTCTAGAACATTCTAACTTAAAAGCCTTAATCGTATTTTCAAGTTTCACCAATAAAGTAAGCAAATATTTTTGTCTTATGATCATGAATTAGAACTCAAAAAAATTTTTTTTTCCTGAAAAAGACTGCCAATGTTTACATTTTCATTTGCTTCACTGAAAGAGCTGTCATTATATTTAGCCATCACTGAGTGCTCACATCAGATGGGCAACTGGGCAGCTGGTGGCAAACAGGAGGGCACCATAAAAGGAGAATAAAAGCCATTTTAGCAAAGGTAGTTTAACGGGACCAACTTTTCTCCAGGTGAAACACATCACATTTACCTGAATATTTAAGGTTGAAGAAAAATAAGAAGTTGGAGAAAAGAAACCTGTATCTGCAATGTATGCAGAGAGAATCCTAGGAGATAAAGAAGTCCCTTGTTTTCCTTGGGCCCTTGAATCAACACAAACACTTCCTAATGCTCTATAAATATATAAATGTACAACTTCCTGTGCAATATAGGACTTCTTTCTTCCTATGTGGGTATGTATTTGCCTGTAAACACTACATACACACAGTAATGGGTGGTTAAATTGCTTTTGTGCGTCTGCCCTGGGCAGCTATAACTGAATGGAAATAACCACCACTTCTCTTCAGATTTGTTGAAGAAATGAATAATTCACTTTAAGCTTAGACTACAAACTGGCACCACAGTAAGTTATTAAAATACATTCAAGCAAGCACATAAATCATGGTGACCTATGAATATATATGAAATAAAATTTTATAATGCAGGTCCAAAGCATAACGCATTTTAGGAAGTGCAAACAAAAGATCTCTGTTGGGGCATTTGTTTCTCCGTTCATTCACCCATTCATTCATACAACAGACTTAATCAATGTCTATTTATAAAGTGCCAGGTTCCTAGAAAATAGTTTGCTGTGTGAATTATTCAAAAGCCAGATTTCCAGCCAGCATGCTAGTGTGGGATCTGTAGCACCTCTCTCGATTTCGGTACACGTTTCTTTTCTTGCTCTCTTAACAGGAGATAACAGATAGACTATCATGAAATATGTGGGGTGCCTGCCTGTCAGAACAGTGTGGGAGAAAGAAGATGAAAGTAGCTTATTACTAGCTCCTGAATAAAGGATATAACTCAGAGACAAAACGTGGTGAAACTCCTGGCTTACTCCCCTTCAACCAGAATTTGTTGAATAGTCACTGAAATATTTTTTCCAAAAGTTCTCATGGTGGACAAGAACCTCACAATGAAAAGAATGATCACCATTATGTTTCTGAGGCGGGTACCCTGTATACTACCTAGGGTGTGGGCTCCAACTGCTGGGGCAGCTTTCTCGTCGGAAACTGGCATGCAGGAGGACCAGCGCCACGCGGGGCAGGCATGGCAGCAGCTGCCCTTTGAGGGGCCTGGCAGTGGGTGGGGTCTACCCAGATGTGAACTTCGACCCTCACAGCAGAGCTCCCTGGTGGCATTATTTCCATTTTAAGGAAGGTCTACGCCCCTGTTACTCTTTTCTCCTGGACTTCTGTTCCCATAATTCTCCTGCCTATTCTGTCACTGGTCATCTCTTTCCTAAATTTTGGTGGCTTGTCTACAGGACTGCCCTCCCCCCACTATGGGTAGATGCACATATTCTTATTTCTTGGTGGGGATGAGAGTGGAGGCCTCATTTGGATGGTCCCGGCTTTCCAAGAAGTGGAATGGCTTTTCTCCCCAAGGCTGGGCCCTCATGCACACACAGGTTTCACCGCGCTTCAGGCAGTGCTCAGGGGCCCTCCGTTTAGTTTCACTGGAGCAGTGGGGAGATCAGTGTCCTTCCCTGCGGCTGGTAGGCTTCTCTCAAGATTCGTGATAGAAGGGGAGGATAAGAGGCACAGTGTCTGGTAAGTACAAATCACCTTGAGGAGGAAGGGCCCTGGGCCAATGATGGCATTTTCCAGACCACACACTGTGCCCCTCACCAGCCAGCTTCCATGTGGAAAAGGTAATTCAAGGCTAACTGCCTTATTTTCTGCTAATTCCTGTATCAGGTAAGTTATTTTGTGAGTATCCAGAATTGCTCTGTATTAGCAGAACTATATGAACAATTCGGGGCGATCTCTCATGATTTTTTCATGGAGATATCTAAGCCTATTTCTCTCAGCCCTGTTCTTACCTAACTTAATAAATTGGATTCAGTTATAGGATATTATTTTTTCTTCAAAGTTTAAGAAATATTCTGTGGTCAGGCCATATGTGTAAATACTCTGAGTTATCCAGCTTAGGACAAAGGAAGACCAGCCATTGTATGTCAGCTAACAGTTATTATGGCATCCAAGTGTCCCACTAAGGTGAGTTGCAGAAGAACCTAATATTAATGAAATTAATTTAGTTTAATAGTTGTATATCAACGCTTTTTGTTTTAGAACAGACTTTGTTATTGGCTGCATTGATGTACAATCGTGGCTCAACACTGTAATTTAACATGAATGTATGATATTGTTGTAAAAGAGGCAATGGTACAACCTCCACCCCAATTTTACATTATTTCAGACTGCTCTTGGGTCTTGTCATTTGGTCCTGAGAAAGATCCTTTGTGAGATTAAAGGACTTCAGGTTATAGTACTTCTGTTGGGAATCCTCTCAGGAGTTGGCTTGGATACTTATGTTGGACTAAAATGTTTTGGACAAAGTTGTTTTCTCCATAATCTCTTATCCTTTTATATTCATTCATTTCATGATTTTACTCAAGTGATTCAATCAGTAGGAAAAAACCCCAATGGCCTTTTACTTTAAAAGCGAGTACCAGGTTGGACCACGAGGTGGCAGTACAATTCTTCCTCAGCCCAGTTGTCAGGCTCCACAAGGACTGCCAGTCCGTTATGCAGTTCCTGCCTTAAGCTTGGTGTTTTCTCTTCATTAGCCTAGACTATCGGCCACCAAAATCAATTCCAACAGGAAAGAAAAAAAAAACCAGATGAAATTGATGAAATGTGCACACCAAATGCAAGCTGTCTGTTTTTTTAGCCAAACACTATTGAAAGGTAGGTGCTCTGATCACGGCAAATTCTGTAAATAATACTTCGATCGAGTTGGAATGGCTGCGATTAGCTCCAGAAGCAGACACTGTAATTCCTTTGACGCAGGCTTAGCTCAGTAATGATAATCATTGCCATTTTGTAGCTTTCCTGAGCCACTCATAATTATGCGTGATTGAACCCGTCTCCACTCATGACCCCTCACTGATGGGACGAAATAGGAGGTCAGGGACCCTACTTGGTGGGACGTCCCCCTTCGGGGTCATTACCAGGTGTGGAACCATGTGGTAAAACGACACTTTGTGAGCTATAGATGAATCAAACAAATTTCACAATGGCTGAGGAGCGAAGTTCTTTGCTGGGCTCCTGTTGTGCAAGGCACATGCTAACGCTCAGTTAACCTCTCACAGGAATTCTGAGTCTTCTGAAAGAGTTGTAATAGTTAATCGAGGTAGACTTCTCTTCAGATTACAGGGGCTCTGATACAGGCCGGCCTGCTCCACTGACCTTCGTGGGAATGGGAGTTAACCAGCTGCTCGAATACAGGGAACCACCAGGCAAATGTTACTGTGCCCCCAGCTAAGGCACAAAGTCTCTATGCCGAGTAGGGTCGTTGCAAAGCTTTCTGTTTCTCTCCTCTGAGTCAGGGGAAATACACCCACAGAGGAGAAAGTGGTAAAGGACCCCGTGGTGAGATTTTCGTGCTTCAGTTTCTTGAACCATATCATAACATCGTTATGGGACAATGTCCTGACATTCCGTCTGCAGCAGCAGCAGGGAGCCCACCACCTGTGAGCACGGGAGAAAGGACCCTGGGAAGCTCCACTGGCACCAAACGGACCCTGTTAGGAAGCTTGCTGCTGAGGGCAGAAGAGCAGGCACTCATCCTAAGAGCATGTTATAAATCCTTAAGGCCGTCTGTCAGCATAACCTGATTACTTTTTGTAACCTATTGATCCACACAGGAAATGGGGGAGGGGTCTGTGTGGCTTTCAGTTGTCTTAAGAAATACATTAAACTTATACTACAATCTATAGTTAATTGCTTATGAAAGGGCCACC